TCCTCCTGTCCCACTATCATGCTCAGTCCCCACCAGGGTTTCAGCAGTTCCTCTTTGTTACATTACCCTTGATCATGCCCTACCAGGCCTCCCATACCCACCTCATCACCAATTTGGATTACTTGTTGTTCCCTTGTCCCTCTCCCATGTCCCCATGGAACTATCGGTCCCGTTGTTTTCTCCTACAGATTGTTCATCCAGTCTATCTTATTTAGACAGACCTGCGAAGATAATAACATGCACTAAAACAAAACAGAAAAAAACCCAAGCAACAATGTACAACAAAACAGCAACAACAACAAACCACTGACAAAGAACAAATTAAAACACAACAAGAAAGGAAAGCTTACATCTCCCACAATCGACTTTACACTGCTTCGCTGTCTGATAGCAAGGCTGTTCACATCCCTTGACTATGGACAGAGGGAATTCACCAGAGACTTAATCCACATGAGGATCCTTCTAATGGGTTTTTGGCTGTCATCTACAGCCTTCTGTAAACTGTGTGTCCTCACTTAGATGGCTGTTTGTTTGAGGATGAGCATTTAAGACCCAGGCACCATTCTTTCTGATAGTCGGGCATCCTGTGATTTCCTTACCACACTTTGCTATCCCATATCTTCCGTGATCTCTTCCTGAGGCAAGCATCAGGGGGGTCATGTCATAAGAACGGATTTTTCGTAGATCGAGGGTAGAATTAAGGGGCAGACTAAAATCCATTAATGTATCTGTGCTTTATATATGTCTTTGGTTCATTTTAGAGACATCACTATGATTTTATGATAGAGAACATTGTAAATAATTCCCCTGGCGCATAAGGTAATTCTATAGATAATAATTTAGCCAATGGTATAGAATTTAAAACACCGTTGAGAAGAGGAAATTATACAAGTACAGGCAAGCTTCAGACTGCAATACATGAATTGTTGACGTATACAGATTAAACTCTTAAATGACTGGGCACTATTTACACAAACAATGGGGGTTGGTGATAGGGCAAAACTTTGAATAACACTCATCCACAAGACAGAATCATGCCTAGAAGATATTAACACTCGTCATAAGACAGCAAGGAGGGCATTAAAATAGTAAATATGCGGTAGTCTATACTAGTACATTTTAAGTGATGTTCCTTACCAAAATAACATGGCAGCCCCATGGGTTAAGAATACAACTGATTCATAGGGTTTTCTTGCCTCTAATCTTTGTGGAAGCAGTTCACCAAGCTTTCTTCCACAGAGCTGCTTGGTAGGTTCAAATCTCCACTTGTGCCACCGAGATTCCTGAGATAAGATGACACACACATCACTTCTTGGAAGCATCTGTTACTTAAGCTGAGGTGAAACACCAAATAGCCAAATTATACTTTAGCACGTATACCCGTGTTGCCATCTAGTGGTTAGACTGATACTTCATTCCGCTTATTTAATAAGCAATTGTTGATCAAATATCTAGAGATCAGAAACTATTCAAGACATCAAAGAGGAAGAATAACATTTTATTCTTGCCTTCCACTTGTTCATACCATGAGGTTATGGCGATTGGATACAAATGTGGAAAAGAGCATTTGTGAAACAGCTCAGAAAGCAAGGCTATTATAAATAGTGGAGGGGTCGGGTGGGGTGGAAATTCCTGCATGTTTTCACAGGCTCTACCTTTAAGCATAGGTGTGACTCTATTGATGTGTTTGTACTAGCTCTGGTGGAAGAATCCTCTCACTGGCTTAGGAACTTGCAATTTTGTTTGCTGAGTAATTTGTAATTCCCTTAGAGAACCTGATCTGGTTTTCCCTGGTCGTCTTGTCATCAAAATAATATATATTGTTAAATTAAACATCCACGTCTCAGACTTAAAAAAATCTATCTATCTATCTATCTATCTATCTATCTATCTATCTATCTATCTATCTATCTATCTATCTATCTATCTATCTATCTATCTATCTACCTATCTATCTATCTATCATCTTACCCATGAGAGGGCAGTAGAATACACGCATGTGAGCTCATTTATTACCTCCAGCGATGTGGCTTTATATTAAAGAACTCCAACTCACTGCCATCAAGTCATCCCACTCGTAGGGACCGTACAAGACAGGGGAGAACAGACCCTTTGGGTTTCCGAGACTTTAGATTTTTATGGGTTTCATACTGAGTATTTTTTTTATTCAATCTGCTTAGTGTTGCTATTCTTCCTGAATGCAAAGTTTCCAAAGGGGGGAGGGGGAGCTTAAATCCACATTACTTGATCTAAAATGTCCTTTAAAAAACTACCTTGGGAATTTAAGGGGAAAAATTATTCATTAAAGGTCTATTGAGTGTGGAGGAGTTCATAAAGATTAATACTCAAGCTTACTGCAAGCAATATTCACCTTTATTGCTTCATGAGGACACGATTTTTTAAAACTGTGCCTCCCCCACCCCCGACATACACAATTTCTGTTTCATTGTCCGCTGGTCATGGTTTCCAGAACGGTTGGGTTAAGCAGCTCTTGTTCTTTTGGTCAAGTTAACGTCTGACAGCCAACTGGGTTGTGTAATCAAACGCTTTTTTCTGCCAGTCGTCTATTTGATCCTTATGTGAACAGATGTGAGAAGAGTTTGGCCACCAGACTCAGGAAGCTAGGAGGTGGGGTGGGGTGAGGTGGATAGGATAGGGTGGGGCAGGGCGGGGCCGGGGTAGTTAGCAAGTGGCTGGGAAACAGGCTCAACTCATCTTGAACGCAGCAGTCTTAGTGAAACTGGGCTACTGCTTTGCAGTGGGCATCCGGCCATGCACATACTTTAGCATGAGCGTGTCGCCTATGCGTGCGTGTCACAACAGGGTGTGGGGGCGACCTTAGCCACTGGGAGTATCAAAGGCGCCTCTGCGCTGGGATTTCAAGCCTCGGGTGTTCAAAGTGTTATTTCCATCTCTCTGCATTCCAAGTTAACACCGTACTGAAATTGCCCAGGAAACATTTGCTCCCTGAGCTCAGCTAGACCTATTGTTTCACTGGAAACGTGAGGCCGACTCAATCCTTGGCTGCCAGCAATTTTATGGTTTCCTTGAGTGAGGTGCCACTAGGGTGCCTTGACTAAACTAGCCTTTTCCTGGCGGGGTTGCCAAGTTTGAACCATGTCCTATAAAGTTCGGGCCCGCGACCTGCAGCCAGGGTGATAGGAGGCACAGCGGGGACAAAAGGGACTTTGCCCGCCACTTACCAGCTGGGGCACCAAGGTCCGGACCAGGGTTCTAGAGCTTTGCAGACCCGGGCTGCTGTAGGCGGCGGGGGCGGGTCCAAGTGTGAGGGGTGGGAACAGGAGCCAATAAGAAGCGAGCTTTGCTGGCATGGGCGGAGCCTGCGGTCGGGGCCTGCGAGGGCGGGATGGAGCCGACCCCGAGTGCCGCCGGGCTGACAGACCGGGCGCCCCGGCCGAGGAGAGCGAGAAGGCAGCCCTCCCGCAGCCGAGGCGGCGTCGAGGCCCCGGGCAGGTAGGAGCGCCCGGCCCGCGCTGGGTCTGAGGCCACTTGGGACAGTCGGTGTCGCCCGCTGGGCATCGAGAGCAGGGCTCCCC